ATTCGTGAATATATACACTTTTCAAACATTACTCACATGTCTTTCCGCCCAAGTTGCACGAGATTTTATTGATTGATATTAAAAAAGTTCTTAAACTCTACACAATACATATGGAGTCGATGGGTACAAAATTTTAAAATTATGTGTTATCCATTGCTGAAAAAAGCATTTTTCGCCTATATCGTCATAGGTGAAAAATCGTAAAATTATGCACTTTTCAAACATTACTCACATGTCTTTCCGCCAAAGTGGCACGAGATTTCATTGATTGATATTAAAAAAGTTCTTAAACTCTAAACAATACATATGGAGTCGATGGGTACAAAATTTTAAAATTATGCGTAATCCATTGCTGAAAAGTGCCTATTTCTCAAATATCGGCATAGGTCAAAAATCGTAAATATATACACTTTTCAAACGATGGTCACATGGCTTTCCGCCCAAGTGGGGAGATATTTTATTATTTGATATTAATAAGGTTCTAAAAGTCTACACAAAACAACTTGAGTCGATTGGTACAAAATTTTAAAATTATGCGTAACCCATTGCCGAAAAGTGCCTATTTCTCAATTAATGGCATAGGTGGAAAATCGTAAAAATATACAATTTTCAAACGATGGTCACATGGCTTTCCGCCCAAGTGGGGAGAGATTTTATTATTTGATATTAATAAGGTTCTAAAAGTCTACACAAAACAACTTGAGTCGATGGGTACAAAATTTTAAAATTATGCGTAAACCATTGCTGAGAAGTTCCTATTTCTTAAATATCGGAATAGGTTAAAAATCGTAAATAAAAACACTTTTCAAACATTACTCACATGTCTTTCCGCCCAAGTGGCACGAGATTTTATTGATTGATATTAAAAAAGTTCTTAAGCTCTACACAATACATATGGAGTCAATGGGTACAGAATTTTAAAATTATGCGTAATCCATTGCTGAAAAGTGCATATTTCTCAAATAATGGTATAGGTCAAAAATCGTAAATATATACACATTTCAAATGTTAGTCACATCGCTTTCCGCCCAAGTGGGCAGAGATTTTATTAATTGATATTAATAAGGTTCTAAAAGTCTACACAAAACAACTTGAGTCGATGGGTACAAAATTTTAAAATTATGCGTAAACCATTGCTGAAAAGTTCCTATTTCTTAAATATCGGCATAGGTTGAAAATCGTTAATATATACACTTTTCAAACATTACTCACATGTCTTTCCGCCCAAGTGGCACGAGATTTTATTGATTGATATTAAAAAAGTTCTTAAACTCTACACAATACATATGGAGTCGATGGGTACAAAATTTTAAAATTATGTGTAATCCATTGCTGAAAAAAGCATTTTTCGCCTATATCGTCATAGGTGAAAAATCGTAAAATTATGCACTTTTCAAACATTACTCACATGTCTTTCCGCCCAAGTGGCACGAGATTTCATTGATTGATACTAAAAAAGTTCTTAAACTCCACACAATACAATTGGAGTCGATGGGTACAAAATTTTAAAATTATGCGTAATCCATTGCTGAAAAAAGCCTATTTCGCATATATTGTCATAGGTGAAAAATCGTAAAATTATGCACTTTTCAAACATTACTCACATGTCTTTCCGCCCAAGTGGCACGAGATTTTATTGATTGATATTAAAAAAGTTCTTAAACTCTACACAATACATATGGAGTCGATGGGTACAAAATTTTAAAATTATGCGTAATCCATTGCTGAAAAAAGCATTTTTCGCCTATATCGTCATTTTAGAAATAGGCACTTTTCAGCAATGGATTACGCATAATTTAAAAATTTTGTACCCATCGACTCAAGTTGTTTTGTGTAGACTTTTAGAACCTAATCAATATAAAATAATAAAATCTCTCCCCACTTGGGCGGAAAGCGATGTGACTAACGTTTGAAAAGTGTATATATTTACGATTTTTGACCTATGCCGATATTTGAGAAATAGGCACTTTTCAGCAATGGATTACGCATAATTTTAAAATTTTGTATCCATCGACTCAAGTTGTTTTGTGTAGACTTTTAGAACCTAATCAATATCAAATAATAAAATCTCTCCCCACTTGGGCGGAAAGCGATGGGACTAACGTTTGAAAAGTGTATATATTTACGATTTTTGACCTATGCCGATATTTGACAAATAGGCACTTTTCAGCAATGGATTACGCATAATTTTAAAATTTTGTACCCATACACTCAAGTTGTTTTGTGTAGACTTTTAGAACCTTATCAATATAAAATAATAAAATCTCTCCCCACCTGGACGGAAAGCGATGTGACTAACGTTTGGAAAGTGTGTATTTTTACGATTTTTCACCTATGCCATTTTTTGTGAAATAGGCACTTTTCAGCAATGGATTACGCATAATTTTAAAATTTTGTACCCATCGACTCAAGTTGTTTTGTGTAGACTTTTAGAACCTAATCAATATCAAATAAGAAAATCTCTCCCCACTTGGGCGAAAAGCGATGTGACTAACGTTTGAAAAGTGTGTATTTTTACGATTTTTCACCTATACCATCATTTTAGAAATAGGCACTTTTCAGCAATGGATTACGCATAATTTTAAAATTTTGTACCCATCGACTCAAGTTGTTTTGTGTAGACTTTTAGAACCTAATCAATATCAAATAATAAAATCTCTCCCCACTTGGGCGGAAAGCGATGTGACTAACGTTTGAAAAGTGTATATATTTACGATTTTTGACCTATGCCGATATTTGAGAAATAGGCACTTTTCAGCAATGGATTACGCATAATTTTAAAATTTTGTACCCATCGTCTCAAGTTGTTTTGTGTAGACTTTTAGAACCTAATCAATATCAAATAATAAAATCTCTCCCCACTTGGGCGGAAAGCGATGTGACTAACGTTTGAAAAGTGTATATATTTACGATTTTTGACCTATGCCGATATTTGAGAAATAGGCACTTTTCAGCAATGGATTACGCATAATTTTAAGATTTTGTACCCATCGACTCAAGTTGTTTTGTGTAGACTTTTAGAACCTAATCAATATCAAATAATGAAATCTCTCCCCACTTGGGCGGAAAGCGATGTGACTAACGTTTGAAAAGTGTGTATTTTTACGATTTTTCACCTATACCATCATTTTAGAAATAGGCACTTTTCAGCAATGGATTACGCATAATTTTAAAATTTTGTACCCATCGACTCAAGTTGTTTTGTGTAGACTTTTAAAACCTCCTCAATATCAAATAATAAAATCTCTCCCCACTTGGGCGGAAAGCGATTTGACTAACGTTTTAAAAGTGTATATATTTACGATTTTTGACCTATGCCGATATTTGAGAAATAGGCACTTTTCAGCAATGGATTACGCATAATTTTAAAATTTTGTACCCATGGACTCAAGTTGTTTTGTGTAGACTTTTAGAACCTTATCAATATAAAATAATAAAATCTCTCCCCACTTGGGCGGAAAGCGATGTGACTAACGTTTGAAAAGTGTGTATTTTTACGATTTTTCACCTATGCCGTTATTTGAGAAATAGGCACTTTTCTGCAATGGATTACGCATAATTTTAAAAATTTGTACCCGTCGAATCAAGTTGTTTTGTGTAGACTTTTAGAACCTAATCAACATAAAATAATAAAATCTCTCCCCACTTGGGCGGAAAGCGATGTGACTAACGTTTGAAAAGTGTGTATTTTCACGATTTTTCACCTATGCCATTATTTGAGAAATAGGCACTTTTCAGCAATGGATTACGCATAATTTTAAAATTTTGTACTCATCGACTCAAATTGTTTTGTGTAGACTTTTAGAACCTAATCAATATCAAATAATAAAATCTCTCCCCACTTGGGCGGAAAGCGATGTGACTAACGTTTTAAAAGTGTATATATTTACGATTTTTGACCTATGCCGATATTTGAGAAATAGGCACTTTTCATCAATGGATTAGGCATAATTTTAAAATTTTGTACCCATCGACTCAAGTTGTATTGTGTAGACTTTTAGAACTTTAGCAATATCAAATAATAATATCTCACCCCAGTTGGGCGAAATGGGTTGAAAAGGTGTAATACCAAATGATTTAATTATATGGCTATTTGATACAACTATATCATTTCCAGCAATGTATTTCGGATATATTGTATGGATATATTGGATTGTTCTCAAAAATTCCTAGTTGTACAATATAGCATATTTATATTTTTTGTTGTTGAAAATGTTGGTATTCTTTCTGTATAAAGAAATGTCAATAAAGTTTAGTTTAACTTGCGAGGTACTTCGGTATTTCCTTTCAGCAATCTCTTTTTAAAGTACTTTCTCGTGCCGTACTGTTGTAGTTTTCAACTCATATTTATAAGTTGTTGCTTGATGATTCGCACTTTAAATATTTTCTTAGACGCTATTATTATTTCAAGTCAGATACATAAGAATATCTTTATTTTGTTTTTTTACTTTCATTTTCCGAATTATGCGCATGGGTATTTACTCCCGCCTGCAATTCTGCTGTGATATTTGAACTTTTTGCTTGGTTGCGCACAAAGGTCACCGTGCGACTCACTTCACAGTGGTTATAATTAGCGAGTTGTTGATTAATTAGTGATGGGACACAAGGTGTCACTATGGAGTAAGAGCGCTTTTTTGAGGGATCCCCTAACTTTCGACCGATGGGTCTTCGGTCTCGTTTACGTTTTATCACAAATCTCTCCTTACCCGTCAGGCTGTAAGAAGAAGTGTATAAACTATAAAACAAAATCATAATTGAAGTGTAACAAGTTTTAATTTATGGAACCCCTGGAATGTACAGGTTGAACACCACTATAGCGTAGACTCTCTATCCAAAAATATGAAGCGATTTAGGCAGGTGATATATTTTGAGCTTGCTCAAATGTATACGCATATTGTTTATATGTGCACTTTTATACATTTGAAACGAAATCCAGCAGTCTATACATTTTCAATCGTCACAGCATTTAAAGTATTGAAATTGTAATAAAATCGATGATAAATATTATACTGACGAAGTCGTGTGCAGGCCGCCAGGTATAGTATGCGAATGTTTAGATTATGGCAGATATATGCAAATTGGATAAATTCTGTATATTGCATACTAAGCGGCGCTGACGGTAGCGCATTTGCTGCTCATAGCAGACAACGCCGGAAATGAATGGTCTTCAAGCATTGCACTCTGTGTTTTTCGTTTTGAAGCTTGACGAAGTAATGTTATTTCCTGGGCTCGTTTGCTCATGGCTACTTCAGCTCTTTCCAAAAATGCGCTCCTGGCTGATCGGTCCATTCGACGGTGGCGCTGCAAATAGGTTTTGTATCGTTAAAAAATGCTATTAATCACAAGTTAATAGTTTCTAGTTTCTACACGAAAGAGTAAAGGTAGGAATATTCAATTTTATTGTAAACAGTTGCAAAAATGAGCAGTGGGTTCTTCTTGATTAGAAAACGAAAAAAATTGATGTTCGGATAAGCAATGATGCCATACTCGCTAGGGAATGTTTTTTAGAAAATTAATCATGAGAAGTTGTTTAACCATATTTGGGCCTAATGCGCCAATGCAACATCAAGTATTGTTCTGATAAGTGATAATTATCAGTGAGTATCTTCTGTTTATTTCTGTAATTTCTCAGGGCAACTTACTATGCTTTCAACGTTTTCATCAAATATTTGTACAGTTTACTTACTGAAAATGCATGCATTTTGTTTGGGAATGGTGCTTTAGGTAGAATAAGTTCCCTATCCCACTGCGGAGTTTCCTCACGTTCATGAGTTATCCGACTACCGGGTTCCACGTCACGTGTTACAACTTGAAGTGTCGGTCCGATTACTACGAAAGATAAATGAATGTTAATATTTCTCCACTACGTTTAAAGAGGAAAGATTATAGAAATTTTAAATTGAATAAAAGTATCAAAAATTATTTCGGTATTGCCAAGGTAATTCGCTGCATTTTCTCAAGTATGGTGATAAATGTAAATATTGTGATGAACCATTTTTTCACAGTCGTTTATGCAATTCACTTTTTCCTCATCTGAATGATTACAAAATTTATATAATATATATTCAACATATTAAATTTTTACGAACTCGTTCTCAGATGTTTTGACTTAAAATTGATTCCCATTGGATCTCGGTCATATGACGTCATAAATTGTGGCAGTCCGAGTGATTTCAGTGGAGGGTACTGCATAAAAGAAAACAATAACTACTTCTGTTCTTAGGCTTATAATGCATGGAAGAAAACAAAAAGTGGTATAAGCAAATAATCACGAAATCAGGTAGCCTAACACAATTCCAGCAGTTTTGGCATTTATTTCAAATCGTTTGGGGACATTTTGGATCTATGTTTTGTGGTTGCTCACCAAGTGACAAAATACCGTAACCTGTAGCTAGGCTGGACTATATATTGGCTACTGTTTAATTCTCTGACATGTAATCATTATTGCTATATTGAAGCAAATCTAAGCAGTTTTAATCATGCTTACTTGTCTAAAATCGTGTGGTTTTGGCATTTCATACTGCGGCGGTTTGTACATTCCATCTTTTACAAATTGAGCCTTTGCTTCACTTGGATCAAGAATGTGGAAATACACAGCAAAATTAGGCCGTCGTTCAAATTTTGTTTTTGGTAGATTAATTGATGAAGCTTGCCGGACTAAATCTGCAAGTTCCATTTCTCGTTTAAAGTCTTTTTTCCTTCGAAAAAATACATATTATATGATCGATAATAACATTTCCAGTGTAAATAGTTATATCTTTTCATAAGAAATTGTATGAAATTAAGCCTTCGAATATTATTTTAAACCATAATTTTGAGACCTCCAGAAGTATGCGCACCAAGATGGCGCACAACCTGAGCACCAAATTTTGGATGAAATATCGATCTCGTACGCCCCAGAATTTTTTTTTTTAAATTTGAAAGTATTAGCAATCTTTCATATTCAAGTACTGATTCAAACTTTAACTTCGAAATTGGACCGCTAGTACACTTCGTGTGCAGCACACGATAAACAATTTTATAGCAGAGGGTTGATCGCGTAGCGTTCAAAAATACCTTTCGGCTGCTGGTACTACCAACTTTGCATATTTCCTGCTTGATTCATTTTCGTATTTCTCGGGTCTGATCGCTTCTCTCGAATTTCTCTCAGGGGGTTTCACACTGAAAGCTTGTGGATTAAAATTAGGGGGTTTTAGAGTCCAAATATTAATCTCTTCTTCTTGTTGTCGAGGCTTAAACTTTCTGCTTCGCCAGCTAGAAGTATTCTCTCGAGCGATAAAACGGGCCTGAAATAAGATTTAATCCTGTAATCTCGATGCGCCTTCTTACTTTTTTTCTTTACAAAAATGAACTTACATCAATCCATAATGGTATTTTGTAAGGTGGATGAAACAAAAATTTCATTTTGACATGTTTTAAATAAATAAATATATATTCAGGGTGGGTCAAAAAAATATTTTTTACACTCTGATCGTTTTGGCCCACTCTGTATATATAATTGCGAAAGTTAGCAGAATATCATATTTTCAAAGGTATGGAAGTATTAGCCTCGCACAATTCTTGAGTGATTTGGCTAACGGTGATACAGCCACTTTCAATTCCCACCTTAGATTGTTGATAGACAAGAGAGAGGTTTTACATTGTTTTGTTGTTTACGCTTGTTTGGCACATTCAAACTTATTCCCACTCGTGACAAGCATTGTTTTCTTATAAATGCGCGTGAATTGTGACAACACAATGAATCAGATTATGAATGTTGCTGGCAAGTATAGTTATCATTTACCAGATGAAACATTATTTTATCCAACCCTCTATATTTTCTCATGAAATTCCAAATGAAGAATTAAATTTCGGTATTTTTAACTAGTTGTACAATCTACTCAGATTGTTGATTTCTTCTCACGAACCATCAAATATTTACTGATATAATTTTAAAACTCTTTACAAATGAACCGTATTTTAACTGACCTTATCGAGAAATTCAAAAGAGGTTTGTCTTTCGATGTACGTTGATCTGTTTGATTGGTACGAGCTAGCAGAGTTGCAGTTTCTCGGCGCTTGCTGACTCTCGTAGTCCGGCAGTGAGTGGGATAGAGTTTTTATATGTTCTTGAGTAGTTTGCGGTCGTATGGACACAGGAATCATTTTTATTTAGATAGTTCTTTGGCATATAATATGTCATAAAAGTTTCCACATTCTGTAGGGTAAATGATAAGCAAGGACGAAATAAACGGGAGTATTTTTAAATCTGTAGTGTATTGCGAATTGACACAGAATTTGGGTGGAGAAAACAATGGTATAAAATCCAAATATTACGTCCTACTCGTCGAGTATGATTCAAATCATCTTTAATTTGTATTAATAATTATGTGATCAATGTCCAACTTCACTTTGTCTACTAGTTACTAATTGGTAACCCATATCACTCATCTACAGGGAGTGGATGGATCCATTTTCCACGTTTAAATTGATATATAGCCTATCGTAAGTGCGTGTTCGGGAAAGATTCCATTAGCTTAGCGGCTGGCTGTGGCTGCCTATGTAGACCATAATACAGGTGTGGGCAAGGTTTTTATACCAGAGGCCAAAATTTTGCCCGTCTGAATTGGCGGGCCATATAAGTGTGGTGTAAAAAGTTACATATTATGAACTTTTTTTACAGTATTACAAAAGCAAATGCGGAAAACAATAAGCCTCCTGCCAAAACTAAATTTAATCACAATCTCAACAAATTCCTTGTTTAGCTAAAACATCAAAATTTGGTTTCAGTTTGATTGTGATAGCATCAGGTGGGACAGATTAAATCACCCAACGGGCCGGATTTTATCCGCGGGTCGTAAATTGCTCATGCCAGCCATAACACCTTAAACAAGCCTTGGGCAAAACTATTGCTGTAATTTTTGTTATGACAATTTCAATTGTTTCCATATTATATATAAATATATTTCGATGAAATAATTCTCGCCCTTCGCTTAGTTTCATATACGACTAATGTTACATCTGTATTCATTTCTTGATTTATGACAAATATATATTATTATTTGTTATAACGAAAACGAAAAATCTGATTTGGGCATATTTATCCATGGTTGGTTAGTCTAAAATTTCTCTCTCACTCAAACTGTTTCTCAACGCTTTGTAGTTTTTTCGTGTAGATAAATTTTTTACAAATATCTCAGCTCAGATCGCTTTTATTACTCTCAATTATAGTTCCATTTGCGACATCTATCTGTTGCTATGAACACTATGTATCATAGCCGTCATAAATAACAGGCAGAATAAATATTTGATTTTTATTCAAATATTATGTTTGGCTTCTTCAAATGGATGGATATAGTACTTATATATCGGCGGCATGGATTATCGTGGACATTGTTTCGAATGGTTTGCGTTCATTTTTTTGTTTTACCTCCTCTGTATAATTGAATTTTTTCACTGAATTTGCATTTTTCTTGAACCTCGCGAACGGATATTTTAAATGGGTTTACTCTTCTCTTTCATTGATATCAAATCGTTTAACTATCCCTCAAGTATATCAGCGTACACCGAAATATTCAAACTTTCTACTCAACATTATTATCACCATGCTATATCGCTTTGATGTCGGTTGAAGATACTTGAATTTTACGAACATATTTCCACTTAGAACAAAGGCGGTTATATCAGTTTCTTCGAGTTTTGTTATCGAGAACGTTACCGGTCGAACAGTACACATTAAACCACCAAACTACAATAGAAATGTGACGCATCATTGTTATTCCAAAACGATTGTGTGCGAAACAATGGCTACAAAAAGGTAAGTGTCATTCCCAGATGATTAAAAAGTATGAGAATACGTTTGAAAATGGGGTTCAAAAATGTATCATATTAATTGTCATATTAATGTGTGTATCCAAAACCAAAGTTTTTTTTATTAATTTCGAATTAAAATGTCGAAAAATATTTTAAAGAGTCCTCAACTTTGTTTTTGTTATGACGGCATTGGAAGTTAGCTGGGCTAGATAAACTTGTTTTAACAAAAGTTTATTTTTTCACAAAATTTATCGAAGCGCTTGCATCGCATTGCTTTGTCATTATTTAGCACGAGTCGGGTATTATTTGCTCCGGACTAAGCCACAGAAGTATATACTGCTTTAAATAAAAAATAAAGACAAAAACACACGCCCGCCCTCGTCGAGAGCTCTATGTCTATCTAACCTAAATCAGCTGATTGATTATATTTCACGAGCGCCGTCGAATTTAACCTATTCGCATAGACTTAATCTATATCGCTCACGTTATATTAAGGGTGCGAAATGCATTGTTTTTAATAAATTCGGCTAATGCGGTTGTAGTTTATACACACCTCGGCAATATTGTTTTTCAATTTCGTCTTTTCCTGGAATATGTTAAGTCTTTTTGCTTATTAGCTTATTTTTTTTAAATTTTAAAATATTTTCAAAAGTATTGATAACTATCAACAAGAGAGCTAAGCTCAAATATATGGACACGTGACAAGGTGTCGCTATTTTTTTTATTCTGACACATAAAAAACGATTCTCTTGGAATCCACAAGAATTTTTGAAAAAAGGAAATGTAATAGCCTTCTGGAGAAAAATTCCATCTTTAAGTACTAAAAATTTTGGTCCAGTAATCGAAGAGAAAGGCGATTTTTCAAAAACGTGTCCTAGATCATAATATTGAAACGATCGTTATGTCCACTTAACGTGTCCATTAAGTAAGTGATATCCAAACCAGTAAGCGAAGAACAAGCCGTAGCCTTCCGCGTGATTGAGCCGTATTACTTCTCCACAAATAAAATAGTCCATTGACTTCGAATCAATCGAATGTCCATCTTAATCTGTGTATCTTCCTAGTACGATGTGTAATGTTCGCTCCCACCTGTCCACATCAAGGTTGACGTGGATTATCGAACACAAAGTGGACTTCAGGATTGATTTTTGGTGTTGTTGTTTCTATGGCTTGCCCTTTTATCGAAAAACAATCCATACTCGCCACCGCTGTCGTTCATCACGCTGCTGCCTACTTCACTCGAGCGAAGCGAGAAATTATCTATGGCTTCTGATTGCCCTCGATCATGAAGTTCATTGTTATAGACGTGAAATGAAAGTACTTTTCATAAAGTACGATCAGAAATGAAAAAGAGAGTATAAATCATCGCAAAATAACATCACACAGTGCAAAATTAATTTTTTGAATATTATAGGGCGTCCAAAAAGTTTGAATAAATTTGTTGTATGGGAAATGGGGACTATAACATCCAACATCTATAACATTCAATTAGATACAGACTGACTATTATTCTTTTTTATAATTGAAAAAAAATAACATTTGATTATAAAGACTTTATAACCGGGCGAAACTTTTTGGACACCCTTTATATATATATATATATTCACAACAGAGAATATATATTGTGTTAATGCAGTTATAACACTAAACTGCACTAAACTACTTGCGCCTGCACTACAGAACTCACACCGGATTTTATTTATGATAAAGAATTTCATAAAAAGACATTGAACTGTAAAATGTATGTATTACTTTTGTTGCCATTGTTTATATCTTATACCGGTAATATAGGCTCCTTCGCAATTCAATTGTTCACTTAATCATATTATTTGTTTGGTTTTATATACGACTGGTGTAAACAAGTCGCAAATCACAGCCCTATCATCTCCATTTTGACGCAAAGAGTATTAAATTGGGGCCCACCGTGTCTGCAGTGTGTTTATGTTTCACAAGTTTGACGCCCGAACGATACCTGTTTGTGTTTTTGTCTTTTTTTATTATTTTGAATATATGTTTGGGTGTTGAATGTGGGTAAACTGACGTATGTATTAAACCTTTATAAAGGTTTTGTCAGTGTTCTCGATTTTCCCTATCTCTTGTGCGTTCATTGTTTGTGTATGCTTTTTTGCGGGTAAAAAAAAAACTTATACTTATTATACTTATAACTAGCTAGACCAAATGCGGGTTTATGTTTTTATGTTATTCTAGCTGCAGGAGTCGCCATTTTTTAATGTTAAAGAAATATTACTAGAAGTTCTTTGAGGCGTGACAGGTTGGCAACCAGAATCAGGTAATGTTAGTCGTGAAATCGTAAAAAATTGCTGCCATTACTGCTCAATTTGAAACACGTTCCTAAACACGCGTACTTTCATATTGCTTACGTTGACAAAATCCAGCACAAACGAGAACTTTCACGCTATCTTTTAATTTCCGAATACCCTACTTCTTCAAGTCCTTATTATAAATATCTTATTCTTTATTTTATGGTTTATTATTTTCGAGTAGAATGCGTGAACTTATTAACGCTTTTTGAAGTCTAACAGCTACAACGCTATATAGCGGTAGAGGTGCGTTCCTGGTTCCAAATAATGAAATAAGTCGTGAGTTTAGACTGTTGTTTATCAACTTGCTGACTTGTCAGTAGTCAGTAGTCGGTCAGTAGTCGATAGATCAAAAAAAAGCATATGATATGGTAGATAGGGATATACTTGTTAAATTATTAAAAAAATCTGGATTTGGAAAATACCTTATTAATTGGATAATTACTTTATATAAAAACACGTCTTCTAGAATAAATGTAAATGGATATTTATCAGAAAAATTTTTTATGTCAAGGGGGGTAAGGCAGGGATGTCCACTTTCTCCATTGTTATATTCATTTATTTCTGAATTAATATCAACCAATATAAGATGCAATAGAGACATTATCGGATTCAAGAATTGCACGAATCAAAGAGATGTATATAATGGGTTTGCAGACGACATAACACTCATGCTTGAGTCAATGTCGTCTGTAGATTCAGTATTAAAATTTATGGAGATGTTGGAAAGTGGTACAGGTCAAAAAATTAATAGGGATAAATGTACGATATTATTATGTGGATCCTCTCGAAGCTGGCAAGTAAATAATACCTATAAGGATATTGCTTTAAAAAGGGAAGAGATAAAATTATTAGGAATATATATAGGAAACTCCCAAAAGTCTAGAGACAAAAACTGGTCTAATATTCTTGCAAATGTTCAAAAAATTGTAAACCTATGGAAGGGACGAAATCTGACCATTGTAGGAAGAGTTGTTGTCGTAAAATCTTTGATGCTGTCTAAATTATGGTATATGGCTAGTTTTGAGTTTATGCCGGAAAAATATATTCAAAAAATGGAAACGATAATCTGGAAATTTATTTGGAATGATAAAGCACAAATGATTAATAGAAATATCAGCTGTAGCGAATTTTTCGAAGGAGGGGTGAAAATGATGAACATTAGGAATCAAATTAAAGCTTTACAGGTAAAATGGGTGTTAAAATTGCTTGAAGGTTGTAATAATCCATGGTCTCAGAGAGCAAAGTATTTTGTAAATAACTATTTTGATGTATTATCGAAAGGTAACTTAGAATGCTTGTATTTGAACTTTAAATTGGAAACCAATATACATATACCGAAATTTTATACTAGTATAATCAACTCATTCAAACAAATTGGCTTAAAATGGAATCAACCACAAAATATAGCAGAAATATCACAGGAAATAATTTGGCACAATCCTCTAATATTAGATAGAAATAATATTGAAATAACTGCTAAATTAAATTGGGTTCAGGCAAAAATAATTACTGTTAGTGATATCTTTGGCAAAACAATATATGATATTTCCAAAAGAGTGTACCCCCAGCTAGAAAACTCTGCAATAAGTACTTTAAGAAAAAACTGCTTGATAAATAAGTGCGAAAATGAATTACGGCAAATATGGGAAGCACTTCCAATAGAATGGAGAGAGATTTTATCAAGGAATAGGGAATTTGGTCAAACAAGAATATTAATTGATAGGTACAATGGGTCGAAAGACTTGACCACTAATCAAATTTATAGGATTTTACAAAGTAAGAAAATGATACATTTTTGAAAAACCATAAGGAATACATATTTAATAAATTTCACCTAACTAAGGCAATTAATTGGAATAAAATATGGAAAATAAATATTGGAAACAAGTATAAAGAGTTATGTTGGAAGTTAATTCATAATGGGTTGCCCACTGGAGACAAAATAAAACACTGGTTCATTGATGAACCAGGAATGTGTGTCTTATGTGAAAATAATGTTGAAGAAACTGTGTGTCATTTATTTTTAGAATGTGACTGGTCTAGTGATTTTTGGCAATGGTGTTGCATAGATATTAATCAAAATACTATTATAGCAAACGATTCGGAATGCAAATCAAAATTAATCACAATATTATGCGGAAAATCAACAATTTGGGAATATCGAAATTCAGTAAAATATGATGAAATAGATAAAATGAAAAGTAGTATGCGTTCAATTTTCAAGTGTAAACTGGTAGGGATTTTAAATTTACTAAAAGCAAGCGAAAGAAATGAATTATTGTTATATGAGCACATGGATGATCTTTTACATAGGTCAATCATGATGTAAGTTTATATGCAACACCATACTCTGAAAATTATTGAAAGTATGTTATCTGTACATCATTTTCATAAGAGGAAGATGTATCGACTATGAAACATAGATGGCGAATGGGAAAAACCCAATATGAAAGCGTGGATTTTTCCATATTCTCTGTCTAATTTTTGTATTCTTGTATTTTTCATGCTAACTAAAAAATTAAAATAAAAACTGATTACCTGTAAATTAAAATTATATTCAACTAACTGCTGAGTGGATTACATGTGGATTAACTCAACTTTTTTGGACATATATTGGATTATATTAAATTAATGACATCATGGTAATGGTATGAATTTTGTCTTTATTTTGATTTTTACTATTCATATGTATTGGGGGGAATGGGATTAAATTAAAAAATGATAAACAAAAACATGGAAACAAAAAAAAATATCTATTTATATATTTATAATAAAATGATTTGATACCAAAATATTAATACGAAAATTCCGTTTGGCATTGGAATTTATTTGGCACAAAAAAAAAAAAAAAAAAGACTTGTCAGTATAGTGCCGCTTTAGATGTTTTATGCTATATCTAGATGTTTTGTTCAAGATCTGGATGTAAAATTTGGAGTCTAGATGTTAGCTGTATATATATATATAAACTGTTATGAATCCACAACGTGGACCTTCAAAAAAAAAAAAAAAAAAAATTGGAGTCTAGATGTTAGCTATAAAATCTAGATACTTTTTCTCTACGACATTTTAAATATTATCCAGTGGAAAATAAAAAAGCGATGTGTATAACAATTGTTAAACGAATAGTATGTAGTGTACACAAAAAAAATGTGTACACTAGAAACATATAAAAATCCCTCTGTAGCAACAACATCAACTTCAAATGATCTTTGAAATCTAGACTTCTATGATGTGATATAATGAACTATTTGTACCTTCTTGTTTTGTTTATTTTTATTGAATTTAGTAACTTCATGTTTAGATGATATTAAGATGTTTTAATTTCCAATCTAAATATTTTGGGTCTCATGTAATTTTTTGTTATGTCAATCCTAACCCCCATCTGACTACGCCATCCAAAAATTACGTCACAATCACGTCATAGAGCTTGCTAAATATACGTACAATCACCCGAAATGGCATTGGCGCCGACGATAAAGAACTACCTGACATTAACGATCTCTCTCCTATTGGAATCGTTGCGACAAGAAAACGAGAGAAATAACTGTTTGATTCCGGGTGCTCGTTTGCGCGTCTTGGATGGCAGTTCGTACCAGTATACTTTGAAGGGCTCTATTACGTCACTGTGACGTCGTGTTGACGTAATTTTTGGATGGCTTAGTCAGGGGTGGGAGTTAGGATTGATACGTGAAAAAATTGTCATGCTACGCCACTAGAAGTACGTTAGGTACGAAACTACACAAGACCCAATATTTTTATATGTTTTCTAAGGTTAATCTAGATGTTTTTATTCAGAAAAAAGTGGCAGCCCTCTATATGGATCTTATTCATCCCTATGTGCAGCTGCAGAAGTTCGTCTTTGTTTCGATCAAGCAGAAGTACCTGTGGTAGAACTAGGATATACGGTACCAGACCTATTTCCTGACGTTTATTTTCACATCATGTTTTCGTTTCATGTTTGGCGTTATTTGGGCAGTTACGGTGTTTACTTCGCTAAACCAAAATCTATTGCTAAACCCTAATACTGCAGTACTGTAATAAGTCAATATACCCTTCATCGAGAACACCAAGCCCTAGCAACTGTAGACAGTTGAGCATCAGAAATTTTTGTATATGACTGTTGAGTTTATGAATAAATACAGAAGTTGATAGTTATTATTACATCATGATGCAGTGATGAGTACCAAACGAAAACTTGACTAGTTTAATTGAAAAATTTATGTATCAATACTGTTTGCATAGTTCTGTAGTTCAATTTTGCTTCTGTGAGACAAAATGTTTGATACAGGAATACTAATGGCATTCAATTTGTTTTGTTATATACAGATAAATACTATTAATTTTAGTCTTGTGACTGTTGTGAGTATGGCAGCCATTCCCCCGATGTATGCGCCACCGGTTGCCCAGCAGCCAATAGGTCAGAATCTACCAACTCAACAAGGAGTAATTGATCCAGAAAAGGAGCGCAGTAAATATAAGGACATCTTATATCGGCTTGGCATGACAGAACTTCTATTTGGAGTCTTATTTATCGCTTCATGCATTGCTAGTTTGGGTTTTGCAATCGGAGTGACCAACCAGGGTTATGCAAGCTACAGTTATTATTCTACTTTTGGCATTGTGTATGCGTCTCCAGGAATATGGTGTGGAATCTTTCCAATTATCAGTGGAATACTTGGAATTTGTGCAAGAAAAAACACATCTACTTGTATGTATGGATCAAACATGATCATGGCTATATTCACGGCAATATTTATGGGAATACTTTTCAGCATTTCTCTGCCTTCTGCTATAATAGTCACTCACCCAGCTATTATAACATTCCAGATTCTCAACACCCTTGGTAGCTTTGCGATTTTAATTGTCTCGATTGTGCATTCTGCTTACTGCTGTGCAGGAGTATGTTGTGTGCCTCCTACAAATTCCACAAGAGCATATTATACAGCACAACCAGTGGGACAACAATATGTCCAACTTGCTAATGGTCAATATATGCTCGTTCCGAATCAACAAATTCCAGGACAAGCTTATTCTGTTGTCGGACAACCTACAGCAATGCCTATGCCCATGCCGCCTCAACAAAGTGGATTCACGCAGCCTGGTGTCTCTGTGCCACAATATTCTTCACCTGCTGTACAGCAACCTTATGCAGAACCAACGAAACAAGCTTTACAACCAGGTGCTAACCCACCATCATATTATAGCTCTGTAGATTATGCTGCCGATCCGAGCTATCCTCAGTGAAAGAAAGGATTATGCAGGCTTGGATAGATATTGTACTCGCTTTTACACACTATCATAACATATATTCATATTATTGCACAAAAGTAATTTGAAAACGTCCGAGTCTGAGATAACTTTTTCACACATCTTACTGGTTATCAAGTCCTGTTATTCACTGTCAATTAGATGTGATCTGTAGACTATTCAGTCATGCAAAAGTCTAGTTTAGTGTTTCAAATTGTATTTTGTCGGTCGATAATTGTCGACTGTATCAGTCTTGTATGCTTAGATTAACATCAAAACATGAAACCCCGCTGCCTCCCAGCTGACTGAGAATGCAGTAAAAATATATATTTGGCTTATCCAAGTATGGTAAGGTAATTGAAATTTCTGTGTAGCACACAACAGATTTTAGTATGGAATACACAATTGAAATTGAAATATGAAAAAATGAAAAGTTTATAGTATGCAGAACAGTATCTAACAAGTAACAACCATAACTCAAAACTTGCAACAAATATATATGCTATTTAAAGATGATATCCAGTATTCACATTTTTTTTTTCGAGTTTCTAATTGAGAAAATTGTTAAAAGAAAGTAAAATAGAATTTATAAATTATGATTTTCAATGTCAATAATGTTCAAATGTTCACAATGTTGAATAACTAATACACATCTATTAATATAAAGATAACCTTATATCATAGTTTGATTTGATTTTAAATTTATTTCCTAAAAGACCTTTTTTTAATGGATGTAGACGTAGTAGCAGGAATGAAATCTCTTGTTTACAAACAATTAATTAGGGTTTTGAATATTTTTTGTTGAAGGTTATTGATATTAGTGTTGTATCCGCCTTGTATAGTTAAAAGAAAGTTATTAAATTTTATGTCTGTTGTGTTCAATCATTTCAATTCTGTAATTTGTACATATTACTTTATGGATGACCTCTCGTTTTTATGATTTATTCTGATATTTCTCATAGTGCATTTATCTATCCACTGCTACTTAAAAGGCTGCCAGTTTTAAAGTCATGTCCCATATATAGAATAAATATGGAATGGTACTTTGAATAATTTGTAATCTTTTTGACAATGTTTCTGATTTGCACACTTAACACTAGCGTTTGGAGACTCTGATCATTCACTCAACTTGAGTTGGAATTTAAGACTCGAATTTGTCATCACTAACTGCCAGTGTGACTTAACAAATTGATTGACTCGGACTAGACTCCATTCTCTGATGACCTGTGAGCTGTGACTCTACTAGACTCGGAGTTTAGGAAGTAGGAACTATTCAACACTGATTCATACCACTGTGTTGAATTAGATTTCCACATTCTTTTTTATTGTTGAATCTTGTAATGCTTAATAATATTGCAGTGAGTTATATTTGTTCAACATATATTAATAGCCTACCTAATTTATGAATTTTCCTCTCAAGCTCTACATAAAAATATATATTGATGACTTTTCACCGAAATCATGATATAAATACAAATATTGCAATTAATCATTACATATATTAAATTCTTTGCACAGTTTATATTTACATATATATTAATTCCTATTTTGTGTTCGGATAAATTTTCCTATCAAGCCCTTTATCAGCTATTGATAATTTTGCACCGAAAACATAATAAAATACAAAGATTGCAATTTATAATTATAATTACATTTGTTTAATACTTTGCACAGTTTTCCTTCAAATCACAATACTTTGTATAATTCTGTTTCATTTGTATATTATTCAGATGCATAGTTAACCTCTTAAATAATAGTATTTAGGAACTATATGTAATAAATTTTATGGTTTTAAAAAACTATTCAAATGAATTCTGCTAGAGATAAGCACCGACAGCATATCATTCACCAGAATTCGATGGTACATGAGAAGTAAATGGCCTGGAGACTTTGACTCAACACCTGTGTCATTTGTGAGTTCTATTTATAATGCTACCTCATCTCATGATTATTATATCGTCTGGTGACATTTTTTATGATTCATTTAGGGAAAAACCAACTTGTACATCATGACAGTTTGATTAGACTTCCTGGTTGAAAATGTGGCCAATTATTACCTGTCCGAATGAATATATTCTGAAATGATTTTTTCAAATTGAAATATTGGATATATTCTGAAATGGGTCTGTTCCACATAAAAATATTCACTCAGGCATTTGTGAATTTGTGGAAACTAAAAATTGGTTATGCAGAATTCTCTCAAGATAAACACTGTTTGAATTATTACTATTCTTCATTTTATAGCTTCCTAACTTTGTCTGGGTATAGGAAATCAAAAGATAAATTTTCACTGAATTTATTCCAAACTGTTCCTAAAATCCAGAATTCATCATATTGAATCTATCCAATTTTGAATTTATTTGAATATTTTATTCAATTTGAACATCCCTGGATAAGGATCAGTAAAATGACAGAAATTTCATAATTATTCAACATTACAGTTACCATAGTTATAAATTGCTTTTTAGCTTATTAATTTATCTATAACTGTTTATGAGGCAATTTGTTCAAAGTAATGTCATATGGTTTCATTCTGAAGAAAACGAGATGAGTCATCGCAGAGCAAGGTCACGGGTGGCCACTCAAATTCCAAGAACTCTGAAACTGAAACTATAGAAATATGGTAGTGCATAAATCAGTGAATTGACGCTTACAGAAACAGGTAGAAAAAAAATAATTCAATTCTGCTAAACGAATTTCAATTTACTGGCTAATTATCGAAGCTTGGGAATGATTGGTTTTTCAGTGGACCTTATGCGGAATCAAATTATCATGCTTCATAAAAGTATGTTATCAATTTGATATGAATAATCTTTTTCTTTCACTTTCCTTGAATTTCTCTATGCTTAATAACACAATGTGTCTGTTTCTTTGTCTCTGTGATCACAGATTTTTATATCCTTGCCTTGTATATATATTGCAGGGGTCGGGAACCTTTTTGGGCAAGAAAGCCATAAAAGGTACATTTTTCCAATTGCATTTTTGTGCGAGCCATATAGCATTTCAGGCCAGAAATTTGATGACTTCTGATACAGCATGTTGTCGCTGCGGGCCTTCAACGGCTGCTCACATGCAGCACAAGTTGAAATCTAGGATACTCATCACCCTTCTTTCGTTTAGGCATCTCTGTAGTATTTTAAAACCAGCTTTGCTAGTCCGATTTAAATATGACAAATACTGTAACTAGTACGTACAAACGAACGAAAAGCTATATTCTATTGCTCCACGACTATCGCCTTGTGACGTCACAAAATATGTTTCAGAATCCCCTAGTTTTGTCACAATGCTTGTCTGGTAATTATCTTAGATAACATAGACATGCGCTGGCGCGCGTTTTTTAAACTAATTGGCAAATTTTCTGCCAAATTTGGCTGTAAAACAGTGTGAAAACTCGTAACCTAATTCGTAATTTAATATTTTGAAAATGTCTGCAAACATGTATGCACAACCTGTACAGCCTACAATATATAAACTGGGAATTATAGAATATCTGTAGGAATCATTTTCATCGTGGCACGCATTGTCTGCATTGTAATTTTCGCATCATCTTCCAATGTTGGAGATAGAGGATATGTAGCCGGGGATGCAATCCTTTTTTCCCCTTTCTCCTATACTCTCTGCAATCATTCATATACGAATCTGATAACATTTTGTTAATATCAGGGCACACTAGTGTTTGCCTATATTATTTTACTTCTACAGTAATCGGTAGGTACTAGGTACGATACGATTTACAACGTATTGATATTCCCTTTAATCTGCTGTTGCTCGATTGGTCGAATCTATTGCGAAATAAAAAATGTTGGCCATTTTATATGCCCATGGTAAACATTTTGTAATTTGTAGTATTTTAATATTATTTTGTAACATAAAGTTCACTTATATCTATCTAACTATTGGTTCAAACTTTTAAAAAACGAATTTGTTTTTCTTAATTAACTATTCTAGTATAATTTTTTGCACCAGTTGTTCTGTAAAGTGGAGCAGATGCCATTTTTAAAATTGCATATATTTTTTCTGAATGCAAATTGTTTCATATTAATTGCGATTTCCAAGCTATTGAAAGCATTTCAATTCGTGCTTACTTAGGTTTAACAACTATAAAGTCAACAGATTGATCTACACAAAAATGTATTGTTATTAATTTATTGTTGAGACCGTTTGAAAAGTTATATTATTATTGCTTTGCCCCTATGACACGGCACATTCCCCTTTTTCATCATTGACTATTGCTTGTTTGTAAACTGAACATTTTTGAATTATAATATTAAGCACATTAGTTGTCTTACTCACAACTTGGTTTCATATTGACAATTTTTCTTATAATTTACTGATGTAGGATATTTACGATATTTGAATTAGTCATTTTGACAAACAACCTACTTTTATTCTAGACATCAAATGGCCTTATGTGTTTCAAAATATTTCTCCTATCGTTTCAACAATTGTTATGATATCATTGTTCACTTTAAGTACTTTCATATTCTTATTAATCATCCATTCTTGAATACAAGCCCCAAACAATGAACAGTGAACACAAACCTTTACGTTGTGGTCTGTAGAATTGGGTACCTATTTGGGAATTTAATGTTTTGGCATCCTATTGCCTTAAATTCAAATCGTTTTTGTCAATTTCACATAGAATATGAGAAGATGTGAATGAACATCGTACCTAATTTGTCATATATATTGAGATGCTGAATTCAGTACCGGTGTTTTTCTGTTTTGTACTATTCCAAAGATGCTATTACTTGCCAACATTTCAAAATTGATAGTTGGATGAATTAAATATGTGATAATGATATTTTAGTATTATTTCTTGTAACATTGTTTCTCATTTCTTTGTTTTATCACTATTGCTTTATTTACCTACTGTGTATATAGAGCATTAGACATAGTTTGCTTATCAACTTGTTAGCAAAGATTGAATATAACCATGCTAGTAATAGGCAGTGATGCGTTGGAAACCAAGCAACAATACTGTCTAAGTGTCTACCATTTCGATGCTAACTGACATTGAAAGCAATGCTCACTGTACATCTGAATAATACCAGGGTCAAGAATTACCAAATAACACTCAGGTTTTCTGTGGAAATGCCAAAATTTTTCGATTTTCTGAAATGTTTTGGTCTAATGCTTTTTTTTAATATTTTTACATTTTATCATTCTAGTTAAAATATGTTTTACTAAGCTGAGTTGTAACCGTAATAACAATTGAATATTAGAATTTAATGTTTCGAAAATATCTGCAAACATGTATGCACAAGTAGCACAACCTCTCATGATTCAACAACCTGTACAACCTCTTATGAATGCTCGAGCAGCTCGAAGAGAAAGAAACAAATCTGCATTATATAGACTGGGATTAACAGAATTAATTGTGGGAATTATTCTCATTTTGGCATGCATTGTTTGCGTTGTAATTGTGGCATCTTCCAGTTTTGGATTTCCATTTTTTTTTTTCATTGGAATATTGTGTGGTATTTTTCCTATTGTCAGTGGAATTCTCGGTGTCTTGTCCCGAAAAAATTCAACACAATGCTTATTTATTACAAACATGGTGATGGCAATTTTTACAGCAATCTTCATGACTATACTATTTAGCTTATCCATATTTTCAGTCTTCGCCATTAGAGGTGATATCTTCCTGACTTTATTGCAAGTGATTAATTGTATTGGCAGCTTGGCTCTTTTTGTAATAGCTATTGTTCATTCTGTATATTGCTGTTCTGGGAGTTGTTGTTATTCAAATTATGCACATCGTCAGTTATTTAATGGTCAGGTTGTTTTCAATCAAAACCAGCCATTTTTTAACCAACTCACTCAACATGCAGCACCAATAATATGGCAACCCCGAGTAGGCATTGTGCAACCAAGTACATCGAACCAGTATCCCCAAACTCAAAGGAATATGAACTTTACTCCTAAGCCAGAAACAGGGGGTGCTGAAAACCCAACATCATCTGATACTCCTGATTTTACTTCAAATCCTAATACCAGTGTGTGATTTATGATGCGTTGCAACTATATTCTTCTGAACATTCCCTCAATCGCTTTTTCCTATACTCTTTTTCAAACTATTCATTTACATATTTGACAACATTTGTTAATAACAGGGCATAAACATACGCTAGCGTTTGTCTATATTATTTTACTTCTACAGTAATCGGTTGGTACGATACGATGTATTGCTATTACCTATTACTTGCTGTTGGTCAAATTTAATAAAAAAGATAAAAAATATTGGCCGTTTTTTATGTCCATGTTACAAATTTTGTAGTATTCTAATATTATTTTGTAACATATCCACTGTTTACTTTACTTATTTTTGTCTATAAAGTTCACTCTTTTCTATCTAACTATTGGTACAAACTTTTAAAAGTTGATGGTAGGATTTGTATTTTTTAAATTAAGTATTCTATTATATTATTTGCACTTATTGTTCTTTAAACTTAGAAGTTTCAATTTTTTAAATTGCATATATTTATTTTGAGTGTTTGTGTGGGAAAATTGTTTTAAAAAGTCGTTCCAATTTCTAAGCTATTGAAAGTGTTTAAATTTGTGTTTATTACTTGAGTTTAACAACTATAAAGTCAACATTGATCTACACAAAAATGTATTGCTCATGTTTGCCACCAGGTATATTCATGTTGAAGATAAATATATACTGGTTGTGCTTTATTTATTTTCGACACAAAACTGTATTGTTATATATTTATGATTGACGTCGTTTGAAATTTATATTATGATTTATTATATTATGACACATTCCTCTTTTCAATCATGAACTATTGCTTATTTGTAAAATACATTGGTTGTCTTCGACACGGTTTCATATTGTGAAATTTCTTGTGATACATTGTGCTCATTTACTTATATTGACAAACAAACAAGTACTTTTATTCTAGACATCAAACGGCCTTAAATGTGTATCAAATATTTTTCCTATTGTTTTAAGGATTGTTATCATTGTTCACTTCATGTACTTTCATATTCGTAATAATCAGCAATTCCTGAATGCTTTCATTCCAACAGATGGAAACAATGAACACAAACTTGTGTTGTGAAAATGAGAATTCATTACTTTGCCCTCCTATTCTAGTCATTGCCTTAAATATCTTTGCTCAGATATACAATTATTTTTGTCAATTTTTACATAGAATATGAGGATATGTAAATAAACATTGTACCTAATGTGTCATATATATTGAGATGTTGAAGCCAGTTCCAGTGTTTTTGTTGTGTGCTTGTTCCACTAGTTAAGGATGTTATTACTTGCCAAAATTTTTAAAATTGATTGTTGGGTAAATGAAATATGTGATAATAATATTTTTGTATTGTTTCTTGTAACATTGTGACTCATTTTTTTGTTAATCACATATTGCTTCATTTATTTATATACTAACATTAGAAATTGCTTTCTTCTCAATTTGTTAGCAAAGATTGAATATAATCATGCCCGTAATAGGCACTGATGTGTTGAAAACCAAACTACAATACTGTCTACCATTTCGGTGCTAGTTGACATCAAATACAATGCATACTTTATATCTGAACAATACCAGGATAAGAATTGCCAAATAGCAGTCAGGTTTTTTGCTGAGATGCCACTATTTTGCCGTATGACTAAAGAGAACTGTAATTTTTCTTATTAAATTTTATATTTTTATTGCATAAAATTTTTTTTCCCTTCTCAAATAGATTTATTAAATGTTGATTTTATAATGATGGCTGGATTATATTTTTGAGTGTGTTATCAGATTCAATTTGATCATTTATATTGTTACTACATTCCGTATATACAAAATATACGGAATTTTGCATGGTGACCAGAGAGAACTGTGATTTTTATTTATAGTTGAATTTTGTATTTTTGTTGCATACAAGTTTTTCCCCCGCTTAATTAGGTTTCAAAAAGACTGATTTTTTGATGATGACCAATCTACAATTTTGAGTATCTTATTAGATTCAATTCAATTAAAGAAAAGTTTTTCTTATTTTTGACACTATCAAAAAACTTCCCCTTTTATTTAAGGGGACTCAATGTTTTTATGAGTGTGATATATTTAATATGGCATTGTTGGGTTTAATCAAGATTGGGTTGATATATTCATGTCCAATAATTACATGGCAGAAATGTTATGCTCAGAAAATTTCAAGTTCAAACTTTATAGTTTTTCCCTCCTATCACCATTGCAAAGTTAACAATGCTATGGTTCACATCACAGTGTTAATATAACACTCATAACACTAATATAACCAACTTCCGTATTCTGACCTAATGCCTTTTCTTAATATTTTACATTCCATCATTCCAGTTAAACTTATGTTTTACTTAGCTGAGTTGTAACCATAATAAGAAATAAAATATTGGAATTTAATGTTTTGAAAATGTCTGGGAACATGTATGCACAACATATTATGGTTCAACAACCTGTACAACCTCTCATGGATGCTCGAGCAGCTCGAAGAGAAAGAAACAAATTCACATTATATAAACTGGGAATCACAGAAATAGTTGCAGGGATTATTTTCATCTTTGTGTGCATTATCAGCATGGCAGTTTCACCATATTATGCTGGAAGATATACCACTGGTGTAATCTTCGTTTCTCCTGGGATATGGTGTGGTATCTTTCCTATCATCAGTGGAATTTCCGGTGTCTTGTCAAGAAAAAATCCAACTCAATGCCTATTTATTGCAAACATGGTGATGGCAATTTTTACAGCAATTTTCATGGCTATACTATTCAGCTTATCCGTAATTTCAGCCCTTATCGTTGGTGGCTATTTCTTCCTGGCTGCATTGCAAGCAATTAATTGTGTTGGCAGCTTTGCTATTCTCGTAATAGCTATCATTCATTCTGCATATTGCTGCTCTGGGAGTTGTTGTTACTCACCTTCACAGCAACTTTCTTCAGGCTCAAATTATGCACATGGTCAACAGTTTATTCAATTACCTAACGGTCAGTTCGCTCTTGTTCAAAATCAGCCATTTGTTAATAACCAACCTGCTCTACACGCAGCGCCTACATGGCAACCCCAGGTAGGCATCGTGCAGCCAAGTACATCGAACCAGTATCCCCAAACTCAAATGAATATGAACTTCACTCCTAAGCCAGAAACAGGAGCTGCTGAAAACCCACCATCATATGATACTCATGGTTTTGCTACAAATCCTAATTATATGTGATTCGATTGCTAGTATATACCGGTGGCTATATTCTCCTGAATTCACTTTGCATTTACATTTTGTCTTATAACTTGGCATGTATAAATAGTAGTATTTGCCTATATTATTATAAGTTAGTACAAAATCACATATTGCTATTTTCCATGTTCTATTATTGCTTTATTGATGAAAATATAATGAAGAATAATGTTGCCTTTTTTTATTGGCCAAATGTTGGAAATTTTCTTTCTCGTAGCATTTGAATATTAATTTGTAACTTATCCACTGCTTGCCCCATGCTTATTTGTGTCCAAAAAGTTCACTCTTATCTATGTAATTATTGATAAGTATAAAATTTTAATAGTTAACGGACCAATTTATGTCTTCAATAGATGTATTCTAGGTATATTATTTGTACTTTTAGCAGTTTTAATTTTTAAAATTGTTATGTATTATTTTATATGTTAGTGTCTGAATGATGTTACAAAAGCTATTGCAATTTCTAAGCTGTTCTAAGTATTTAAAGATTTGTGGTTACTTGGGTTTATTACTTATGCACATGCTCTTTCGTGTATTGATCTACACAAAATATATTGCTAATGCCATGTATATACAACTGAGACTGTTTGAAAAAATTATATTATTATTGCCTTTCCCCCATGATGTGACACATTCCCTTTTCAAGAAGATCATATAGTATGGCTCGTTTGTAAATTTACATATCTTTATGCTTGATTTATAATATTTTGAAGAACATTAGTTGTCTTACCTTAACTGTTTTGTTATAATTCACTGATGTAAGTTATCATAAAAGTAATCAGGCCATGTCTATGTACTCGAAATGATAAACTGATAAATTCAACTACGGTATTTCTAAAATTTATGTGGATTGTCAATCAGAGGAAAGACGGGGATTCGCGATCTCACAACTTTTGTGTTTTGATTTGATACAATCATTATCAAACAATGGGGCCAGCCCCACAAGGGGGGTGCAGACAATTTTTTGAGGGGGCGTGAAGTGAAGCCAATCGAAAATAAAAATATTTGTTAGATTTGATCTTACCCGCCTTTTTTTTGAATATTTACTAAAGATTGCGATTCCATTCATGTATTTTCAACATGTTTTTTGAATAAAACATACTTTCACCTTACTATCTGTTATTTGTAGCTTATTGTTAGCTAGCTATTTTTGAAGTTGGGCGCTAGACTTATTAATAATTTCTAGCGGATTAAAAAGTTTGAGAACCACCGATCTAATGCTTTTTATGAATATTTTTAGATTTTATCATTCAAGTTAACTACTTAACTAAGTACTGGAATTCGTTATTTTGAAAATGTCTACGAACATGTATGCACAACCTATTATGGTTCAACAACCTCTCATGGATGCTCGAGCAGCTCGAAGAGAAAGGAACAAATCCACATTATATAAACTGGGAATCACAGAAATAGTTGCAGGGCTTATTTTCTATTCGGCATGCATTGCCAGCATTTCAATATCATCTGATGCTGGAAGATATACTTCCAATATAATCTTAATTTATCCTGGGATATGGTGTGGTGTCTTCCCTATCATCAGTGGAATTCTCGGCATTTTGTCCCGGAAAAATCCAACAGAATGCTTATTTATTGCAAACATGGTGATGGCAATTTTTACAGCAATTTTCATGGCTATACTCTTCAGCTTATCCGTAATTTCAGCCCTTATCGTTGCTGGCTATTTTTTTCTGACTGCATTGCAAGCACTTAATTGTATTGGCAGCTTTGCTCTTTTCGTAGTGGCTATTATTCATTCTGCATATTGCTGCTCTGGGAGTTGCTGTTACTCGCCTTCGCAACAATTATCTTCAGGCTCAAATTATGCTCATGGTCAACGGTTTATTCAACTACCAAATGGTCAGTTCGTTCTCGTTCAAAATCAGCCATTTGTTAATAACCAACCCGCTCTACATGCAGCACCTCTATGGCAACCCCAGGTAGGCATTGTGCAGCCAAGTACATCGAACCAGTATCCCCAAACTCAAATGAATATGAACTCCGCTCCTAAGCCAGAAACAGGAGCTGCTGAAAACCCACCATCATATGATAATCATGGTTTTGCTACGAATCCTAATTATATGTAATTCGATTGGTAGTATATAGCTGTATTCTTCCGAGTATTCATTTGATCGCTTTGTTTTATGCTGTTTCCCCACTTTGCATTTTCATTTTGCTCATACCTTGGCGTGTATAAACTGTAGTATTTGCTTACCGTATATCATTTTACTGCTACAATCATGAGTTTGTACAATATGACATATTGCTATTCACTGAGGTCTATTGCTCGATTGATGAAATTTAATGAAAATAATGTTGCCTTATTTTATTGGCCAAATGTTGGAAATTTTCTATTTCGTAGTGTTTGAATATTATTTTATAACTCATGCATTGCTTGTCCCATGCTTATTTTTGTCCATATAGTTCACTCTCATCTATGTAATTATTGATAAGTGAAAAATTAAAATAATTAGCGGACCAATTTATTTCTTTAAATGGAATATTCTAGGTGTATTACGTTTAGCAGTTTCAATTTTTAAAATTGTTATGTATTATTTTATATGTTACTGTCTGAAAGATGTTTCTAAAGGTATTGCAATCTCTAAGCTGTTCTAAGTATTTAGATTTGGGTTACTTTACTTTGGGTTATTATTCATTCACATGCTCTTTGAGGTATTGATTTACACAAAAATATATTGCTAATGCTATGTATATACAAGTGTTTGAAAAATTGTATTATTATTGCCTTTCCCATGTGATGTGACACATTCCTTTTTATTAAGGAGATCATATAGTATTGCTTGTTTGTAACTTTACATATGCTTGATTTATAATTTTATCAAGTACATTAGTTGTTTTACCCTACAGTTTTTCTTATAATTCACTGATGTATGTTATCATAGTCTCATAGAAATAATCAGGCCATGTCTCTGCACTTGAAATAATAAACTGATAAATTCAACATGTCTAAAATTCACTTGGATTGTCAATCAGAGGAAAGACAGTGATTCGTAATATGATTGGGCCATCTCACAACTAAATGTGTTTTGATATAATGTAGTGGTTCTCAAAGCATGGGGCACGCCCCACAAGGGGGCAGACAATTTATTGAGGGGGCGTGAAACTAATTGAAAATGAATGTATTTGTTAGATTTGATCTTACCTGCCTTATTTTGGATATTTATATTTGCTTATTGTATAGTTATTAAAGATTGTGATTCCATCCACATAATTTCATCATGTTTCTTGAATCATACATACTTTCACCTTACTATTTGTTATTTGTAGCTTATTGTTAGTTAGGTATTTTTGAGGTTGGAGGGGATGCCGATTAACATGTTTGAAAACCACTGATCCAATGCTTTTTATGAATATTTTTATATTTTATCATTCAAGTAAACTTATGTTCTACATAACTGAGTTGTAACTGTGATAACAAATTGAGTACTGGAATTCATTATTTTGAAAATGTCTAGGAACATGTATGCATCACCTATCATGGTTCAACAACCTTTTCAACCTCTTATGGATTCTCAAGCAACTCGAAGAGAAAGAAACAAATCTATATTATTTAAACTAGGAATCACAGAAATAGTTGCAGGGAATATTTTCATCTTGGCCTGCATTACCAGCATTGTAATTTCACCATTTTATGCTGGTGGAAGATATACCTCCGATGTAATCTTTGTTTCTTCTGGAATTTGGTGTGGTATCTTTCCTATCATCAGTGGAATTCTCGGTGTCTTGTCCCGGAAAAATCCAACCCAATGCTTATTTATTGCAAACATGGTGATGGGAATTTTTACAGCAATTTTCATGGCTATACTATTCAGCTTATCCATAGTTTCAGCCCTCGTCATTTATGGCTATTTCTTGACTGCATTGCAAGCGCTTAATTGTATTGGCAGCTTTGCTCTTTTTGTAGTAGCTATTATTCATTCTGCATATTGCTGCTCTGGAAGTTGCTGTTACTCGCCTTCGCAACAATTACCTTCAGGCTCAAATTATGCTCATGGTCAACGATTTATTCAATTACCTAATGGTCAGTTCGTTCTCGTTCAAAATCAGCCATTTGTTAATAACCAACCTGCTCTACATGCAGCACCTCTATGGCAACCCCATGTAGGCATCGTGCAACCAAGTACATCGAACCAGTATCCCCAAACTCAAATGAATATGAACTTCACTCCTAAGCCAGAAACAGGAGCTGCTGAAGCTCCACCATTATATGATAATCATGGTTTTGCTGCAAATCCTAATTATATGTGATTCGATTGCTAGTATATAGCTATATTCTTCCGAATATTCATTTAATCGCTTCGTCCTATGCTCTTTCCCCACTTTGCATTTTCATTTTGCTCATACCTTGGCGTGTATAAACAGTAGTATTTGCCTATATCATTCCACTGCTACGATCATGAGTTTGTACAATATGATATATTGCTATTCACTGAGGTCTATTGCTCGATTGATGAAATGTAATGAAAATAATGTTGCCTTATTTTATTGGCCAAATGTTGGAAATTTTCCTTGTCGTAGTATTTGAATATTATTTTCTACCTTATTCACTGCTTGTCTCATGCTTATTTTTGTCCATATAGTTCACTGTCATCTATGTAATTATTGATAAGTGCAAAATTTGAATAGTTAACAGACCAATTTATTTCTTTAAATGGAGTATTCTAGGTATAGCTATTATTCGTACGTTTAGCAGTTTCAATTTTTAAAATTGTAATGTATTATTTTATATGTTAGTGTCTAAAAGATATTTTAAAAGCTATTGCAATTTCTAAGCTGTTCTAAGTATTTAAAGATTTGGGTTACTTGGTCATTTTTATGCACATGCACAAAAAATATTGCCAATGCTATGTGTATACAACTGAGACTGTTTAAAAAAATTATATTATTAATGCCTTTCCCCTGTGATATGACACATTCCTTTTTCTAGGAGATCATATGTATCGCTTGTTTGTAAATTTACATATGCTTGGTTTATAATGATATCAACCACATTAGTTGTCTTATTTTTCTTATAATTCACTGATGTACGGTATGGTATCATAGAAGTAGTCACTTCGGCAAATATACCATTATTCTGAACATTTAATTAAACAGCTGTTTAATTTGTGGATTGTGGTTTTCGAAATTTTCCTCCATTTTTCAAAAATTGCTATGATACCATCATTGTTCACTGCATGTACTTTCATATTTCCCAACATATCATTCTTGATTAATTTCAATGCTTATTGCGATATTTTTCAGCATCGTCATTGGATTAAATCTTTATGCTTAGATAAACAGGTATTATTGGGGTTTTACATAAATTTAAAGATATACAAATGAAGATTGTATCTAATACGTCATTTATATACAAGGGTGTTCTTAAAGTCTCAATTTTTTTTTAATTGCAGAGGGGATTCTGGATACCATATAGCGTTTGTTGCGCCCTAGGGGTGTATTGAATGAAGTAAAAAACGTAGACACTGATTAAAATGAAAACATTTGGGTCCAAGATATATTGAGAACTTCTTCACTTCATCAGAAAATTGTAATTGTGACGAGACTTTACACACCCTGTATATTGAAATACTAAAAGGTTTTAGTCTTGTGTGTTTTTTTTACTGACCAATGGATGGCCCTGCTATTGCCTGTCACCATTTTCAAATCCAATAGTTGGTTTGATCAAGTTTGTGATATTGATATTTTTGTATCATTTCTTATGATGACATATTGCTTCATGTATCTACAATGTACAACATTACAAATAGTTTTGTTTCGCAATTTGTTGGCAATGATGATTGATAGAACTAGGGGTTTCAAAATCGGAAATTCCCATTCCCGTCTGAAACAGTCGCTTCGATTACGTGCTCGTTAAAATAGCCGACTTTTTCAGTGTATAATGACTTTACTGTGGCGTGAAACATTCCATTCATGACAACTACGAGAATCGACAATAAAAAAAATACATATCTATCGTCTCGAAATCCCAGCGGAACGGACGCCACTTGTCGAAAAAGCCCACTTATTTATTTAACAGATAATGATTTTTCTGTTGTGCAAAGTAATCAATCCATGACCGATAGGGTATATCTAAAATTATTATTTAAATTGTCTTTGATTAAACATGCGTTTGCGTCGACAAAATTAAGGCATTACTACTCTAAAATACCACGGCAATCCGCGGACATAAAAAGGTGTGGTAAACTACCCGATTATATCTTGTTTTGATCCGTATTTTTGCCGTTTTTCGAATTCGACTTGCTGTACTTGCAACACTGACTTCGCTCTATCGAAATGCTGCCACTTGGATTATTTTTAAGATAAAACCGTTAGAAAAATCCTCAAGTCTGCTAGTAAATTTCACCGAGAAAATTTTGTTTCAGTACAATAAAAATTGATTAAATACACTTTAGTTTAGATTAATTCACGTATATACCATCACAACCCGAGAATAAATCGCGTTCCCAACCTTGTATAATGTTAACATGAAAATTTTCGACGGCAATTTGAAGAAATGGATAAAAAGGTAAATCCCGCACACAATTGACTGTGTTTCGATCTCAGTGACCGTAGGGTTCTCAATTCCGAGCAAATATAATGTGTGGCTTAGGCCCACGTAATTTTGCGATTTATTAAGCTTAGAGAGGCGTATTTAATTTATCGCGGACCTCTTACAGCAAAACTTATATTGTTTACGGTTTCATTTTTAGAATATTGCATTAGTATATTGCCGTTTTTCAATCTAAAATTGGGGCGCGTACTCCTTTATTTTGTCTTTAGCATCTCACCGCCGATGAATGAAGTTCAGAGATGTATCGGGTATCGACCATTTTTTCTGTATCGGCAATATATCGGTATCGGTTAAATATAGACCGATACATTTAGCTTTTTACTCTGATCCAGAATATTTTAAAAATTAAGTTAGAATACGGATGTTGAAATTATTTTATATATCATCGTTATCGTGGCACAAATTTGGGGAGAATAATGAATAAACCTCAACGCAAACGTGTAATTAGAAGTGATATGCTGATAACCATACTTTGTATTATTTGCCATTTCGGTGTAAGCTAACATGAAATGTTGTGCATCCTGAATGATACTACGATGCAGGTGCAGAAGGTCAGTATTACCAATTGCCCCCTTTTTTGCTGAAATATCACATTTTTTTGAAACTTTTTGTGCCGATTAAAGAAAGGGCTGTTTTTATCCAAAAATGGTGGAATTGGCAGTGGCCAATTAAATCCCTTGAATACTGGTTTTATAATGATTGATAGGCAACAGTTCCAATACAGTATGTGATTAAGTTTAATAACTGCGTTATTGATTTTCTCCATTAATGTGCATCGCATTGATATATGTATCGATTTGAACATATTTTCAGCTGAGGCAATTGTGTTCCTTTTCTGAAATGTAACAACATTAAAAAACTTCCCCTTTTAAAATTTATTGTTTCATATGTTTAATTTTAAGGCAGAATTGGTTACCAAAATATATCAATGCTACAAGCCCATGGTGGATGGAACGACACTCTAAGGAAATACATTTTTTTAATGTATATGCACAGTGCACACACCCATGTATGTTCATTCAAACTTGATGTAAGATTACAATTGACCTCTTCTATGCTTCTTAAAAATGACATCATTCGGTTGCTGGGTTCACTGACTACAGGGCTTACTTGTTTAATTATTTTTAGGATTATGGTGAAGGTCGTTTTTAAGCTACTAATTATTATAGCTGTTACGTTCTGATTCTATTGCAAAGCTCATGATGTTATGATTAATGGCATTAAAGCCTGAGTATGATTACGATGCGTTTTGAAATTGGCTACTAAGGTAATTTGATTCTATATCTATATGATCTGACTCAGCGTTAGCTTATGTAACATGTTCAATTTATTTATCTAATCTTAACAAAGTTAAATATAGTCTAAAACCCAGAGTTATCAATAAGGTGCAAGAAATGAGAAATATAAATTTCACTAAAGTTTGCATATTTTCAAGATTTTACTATTATATAGTAAATAGGTCATTTTCACAATCTATAATATGTCATGTATTCACTTGAGTTCTACATTGATATTATTGCAAGTCTCATGTCAATATATCAAACCGCAATTAAAGTTTCATTGCCTGGGTGCTACAGGCAGGTTTCCATATATGGTTAAAATGAACGCGTACCAGTTTGATATTTTGTATACATCATCTTGCTTGTGGTGTGCAGTTCCACGTATTGTCTGTGGAATGGGCATTTGCTGTGAGATTAAATTCTGGCGTTTGTACCGTAGATTTGTACCTTGCGTTTGTACAGTGGATAACTTCGATGAGGAAGTAAGTCTGCCGAGAGATTGTTAGATATCGGTGGCCCATTTGTCTAGCCTTGTTCGGAGCACGAGTCAGCGTCGTATTACGTCATTAACAAAGCATTACCCAATGGATACGATCTTGTCGTATTATCGGTTTTATTGCCTCTAATTTGTAACATTAATGCAATACGTCGTTGACTCATTGTGTTGGAATCTGTTTCACACAACATTGTCATAACTATAGGGTTGGAACCCCGGAAAATCCCGGGATTTGGACTGTTTTTTTAATCCCGATCTCGCCATTGTTTTATAAAAATCCCGGGATTTTAAGGCTTTGTCATCCGCATATTGATATTCGCACAAATGGCAATTTTATTTAATACTTATTTTGAAAAAAGCCATCCACGCTTACAGTATGGTCTGTCAGACTAAGTGGAATTGATGTGCGAAATTTTTCTCAAATTTTACCAAGGAATTATTATTTGACAGGTAGAATTGCCATTATTGCCGACTTATTTATTCATCATTTGAACTCAAAATAGCATTCGGGATTCACGCAATGACTTTGCAGGGTTTTAATTCACTATTTAATACGAAAATAAAACAGCCACGATAGAAACGTAAAATCAAGAAGATCAACTATCGCCTCCCTAAATATCCGCGTTCCGGCGTTAGAAATGATAATGTTTTTAGCTTAAAATTGAGACAATTAATTTACAAACGGTGACAAGAAAAATCAGAGCCGATCCAAAAGATAAAAATCGGAATGAAATCCAGAAACTCTACCCGGTATTTGACAATTCGTTAAAATTATTCGATTAGATGAAAATCTACTTTTTGCCCACCTTTGCGTTCTATAATCACGCCAGTAATCTGACGAAACGCGTGGTAGTCCAAACACTGATGCAATGAAACTTAATAAAACCTTCATAAATTTAGTAAATTGCACTACTTCACGAAAGCGTGGTGGATTGACGAATATTTCATATCTCGAACACAAAAACAGGTATCTTTTTGGATAGTTTCTGCGGTCTGAAAAATCGAATAGGCGTTTCGACATAGTAAATGCTATGATATTTGTCATCAAATTATTCTCGACACAGAACATATATTTCTTTCATTTCTCCATTCTGTTGAACATAACGCCAAAAAATCCGTACGATATATTATCGAGTGCATAGAAACAGTAAAACGCTCAAAATATTTACCGTTGTGAAACGTCCCGTCCTCATTGTCTGGGCATTTTTTGAATACCTGATGACCTCAGAATCGAATACAATTTTCGAACCGAATCTCGAATTCTTGGAGGATATGCGACCCTTTTATTGCAATGGATCCTCCATTCACATAAATTACTGAAAACACAGAATCCATCACTCGAACAGTATGCTGATCGTTCACACACAATAAAAACATGTTCCATCAATACCTCATTAGGAAGATAAGGGTCATATGTCAACATTTAATTTTAAAATACGGCTTCAATAAAAAAATTGAAGAATTCACCTCGGACTCTGGCGGACAAAAAACAAGATGGCGGCAATTAGAAACTTTCGTTTAATTAAACGGATTCGAAAGTATTTACTATTCGGTTCGAATATTCGATTTGAAATGCCCAGCCCTAGTTCTGTACTCAACAAATTAGTATGTTTTCCTGTATGTTGAATTGTCGGGTCACCGAACGAAACATGGTGAGCCATTCTCTGACGCGCAGATATAGCCAGTAGTGGGATTCAGCCGGTTCGCACCGGTTCTATAGAACCGTCTCATGGAATTTTGATGAGATCAGCGAACCGTTTAGCATTACTGAAAAAAACATGACTTTTTGTAACAGAACCGGCTGAAAAGTATGACATTTGTATGGATGGAACCGGCTGACAAAAAATTTGAATCCCACCACTGGATATAGCCAATATAATATTATGTTTTGGCGTTGTGCTGTATGAAGGCAGATGAAAGCGGTCCAGTCCTTAGCTTGATCTCTATCTGCCTTCACCCGATACTAACGCCCAACAACGAATACAAAGATACCAGAATTCACTAGCACGCGATTGATATATTATTGCCAACTTGATCGCCACAATTCTACAGTATCTTATGAATATATATATACTGTTCTTTTCTGTCTTAACTCTTCCTCCTTTTTTTGCAATACAAACCGTGACGTGCTTCTATATAATAAATTGGGTCCCTAAGTTATGTACTATCAAGCACGGTAGGAGATCTAACCTTGATTGTCCGATCAAAACAATATGTTTGTGCGAACAGCTAATAGTTAGAAAATGGATTGTCATGATCTACTTTTTTTCCCAATTCAAAGAACTGAGCTAAACCCGATTTACAAATTTTTACCGAATCACCGAAATTCAATCAATTTGATATGATTGTGCTTACACGATACAATGGTTCATAGTTATCCTGGAATTGACAAAATACCGCAGTCAAGCTGGTTTTATTGCTTTGAATGAGGGGAACAATGTCTCATATTTATTTGTGAATTGTTCCAAAATCTATCGGTGGTAGGCGACTAGGTCTCTCAAATGGAGCTATCGGGTTTCCAACCAGCCCCAGATCTGCAGGCAATTCAATGTGATGTGGTTCGCTTCTTGGAATTGGTTCAAGAAGAGTTGTATTTGATTTCTGTGAAAAATTTGTATTGGGAAATGACAGTTCTTCGGGTTTGATCGTTTTTAATTCGGATTCATCGATGTGTGAATGTGAATCTTTGCGAGTGCTGATAAGAGTCTTCTCATTTTGCGCGGGAACTTCCATCGGGAATACTCTGGTCGCTCTTGAAAAGATACTCCGAGACTGTGATGTTCGCTCATCTATCACACATATTGCATCACTTTTCTCCTGTAATTGTAGAGGCTGATTTGTTGATTCGTTTGTACATGATTGCTCAATATCCTCGGACAGCTCAGATATTAAACTAGAAGTCTTCAAGATAGTGCCAACCTCTATCGATGAGATGGATGAATTCGTTGGTGAAGTTAGTAAATTAGAAACTGGAGTCTGTGAACTGTCGAATTCGGAAATGGACACGTTACGCCTGGGTGAAAGAGAATATACATTAGTCTTGACATTGGAATTCTGTGACAACGACAATTCCATGAAATTATATGAAGCTCGGAGAAAGCGACCAGCATTTTTAAAAGTTGCAGTTCGTGCAGTACTTAACATTTACGTCTTTGTTATGATGGCTTGCAATAGGGATATTATAGTAGTCATAATAGTACAAGTATAATGGGATATGCACGTATAATCAGTCGGGGAAAATAAAAGTTTATGTTTCAAAAAGGATCTCGAATAGGTGGATGAAATGGCGATAAAACAATATCCCGATCGCTTGCGATTGAAAATCCTAACTAAATTCTCGCCCTTCGTAGCTTTGCGTGCATGTGCTTCACTGGGCATTTACAAAGTTCGGTGGCTTCTAAAGTTCTGCAGCACTCCGTCTCAAACTACCGATAGCTGTCTGAATTCCCTAAAACGCCGTTGTATGATGCTAAAAATGTGGACTGCACAAAAATGCGTCAGTGTTACAATTAACAAAACATGGGATATATATATATTATATGTATATATATGCAGTAACGACAAGATGGGATCTCTTTTGTATTGCACTCAATAACAACAAGTTCGCTCTTTTAAAAATGCATGTCTGTTATTACGTAAGCTACATTGACATGACACGGTTTACTTAAATCTAACAAATAACTGCAAAATTGAACTTTGTTACTTACTTTAGCAAAGATTCTTCAATATTTTCCTTGGTAGAAGATTCCTCCAGAAAACAAATACATTCGTCCATAACTTCAATCTGGCATGCCATCCACATGATGAAGAATCCAATTGAAAATAATAGCGATATTATTCCAGAGTAAACCAAGATATCCAATTCGTTGCTGAATTCTAAGCTTCCGGAAACAATGAGGCCTGTACCGATTCCAACTAAAACAGTAAATATAAATAAGAGAAAGCGGTATCTGCCATAGCTTTTGATTGCTGTCACTCTATTATATCCCATCTCATGATGGAGCAGAGTAGCCTGCTACGTACAGAAACATTCTTGAAGACAACATATCCTACTACAGAAAACTCACTTTAATCTGCATTTATTATTCATTTTACGTTCCGTTGAATATTTACGTATCCTGTTGTGGTACTCCAGTTAGCCTCGTGCAGCTATGTACGCATAGTTTTCGGCGGATAAATAATTAATTTTTAAACTCTTATTGATGCATTGTTCGGAACAGAGGAACACAACAAAACTTAGTTCGATTACATTCACAGGCATATCGTAAAGAATGAGTCACAACTTATTGCCTAATATATTTATGCTATATAATATATATAACTAATCGGTTAAAAAGTTTTATTCGGAATACTTAAGTAATTTATTTTTAATAAGCTTTTCTCTTGGAATCCAAAATTGTAATAGTTTGGGCTAAAACCCAGGTACATACGAGAAACACGAGTGCAATTTGATGAAAGTCGACTTTTTTAATTAATTGAATGTTAAAACATTCGGATCAATCAAAACAAGAACTTACGGCAGCACATTCAGTTGTTGTCAACTGGTTTATGTCACGACGGCAAAAAATGGCTGTAGCAAATTGGTAATACTAGTGTTTTTTCATAACATTTGAGCGACATCAGCACAAAATGTTATTTGCAAAATGCTTTGTATTACTTATAATAATAACGAAAAATGATTGATTGAACATTTTAAAAGTATATGACTATGCAATATGTATCTATAAATTGCGTTTCTAGATTATCAACGTAAGTAACTTTCATGTTTGCAGCATTTATATTTAATCGTCGTGTTGGAAGTATATGTTCTCAAGGTAAACATAGGTAGTTATGGTTTGCATCGCCTATTTTTGCGGTGATGATAATTTACAAACACTTCAATTTGACAAAGTTTGTTCCAAAATGTAACAGCGTCGCGGACAAAAATGACTAAAAAAATCTGCCCAAGCATTATCACAACCCGCTTGCTCAGCATGGAACTCTGCTTGTGGAGTCATGTTTATCATTTCCCCCCAAAAAAGTTATGAAAAACGACTTTTGTAATGTCGTAGGTAAGGATGCCAAGTATGACTACTTACAAGTATTCGATTCTTATCCGATTCCTAAATTTTCGATTCCGATTCTCGATTCCGAATCTCGATTCCTCGACATATCTTACCGAGAAAACATACCCACCTAAGCAATACCATATATGAAATCAAACAAGAGAACGATGTTCAAATATATGGACAAAAAGAAGGCCGAAACTAAGTAGTATAGGTATCCAATCTGTCACAGGAGACAAAATCGCACAAAAAAAACGAACCGACAGAGATTTTAAAAGCGATATATATATAGTGAAGTTTGCGGCATATCAGTGAAGCAGTTTATGCATATACGAGTATGTGACGGAATGGCCACAAAACGTTACACATTGTTTGCAATCCAAGTCTTAACCTCGAGAATCGAGTACAATACATCGGAATCGATTCTAGTCGATTCCGCGAAGAATCGATTATGTAATCGAATCCGGACTCGATTCCGCCATCCCTAGTCGTAGGAGGTAGGACCATTGACATATAGATCTTACTCACCTTCATTACCTTCCTAATATAATTTCTCGGTTACCCATCACCTCCCTGAAGATCTGTTTCTCTTATTCAAATCACGAGAAAAATTCTTTTTGTTCTTTATTGTTGCGTCACCATGCATGTTTGTGCTTAAAAGCATTTTATTACATTTCACTGCGGGATAAAGGCACTCGTGAAATTTTGTGTAAATCAGAAGAGTAGAATCTTTTTCGTGAATATATCGCTGGTAAGTGAGGTGAATTGGCATCTTACTTAATATCCCTTACGCTTTTACGCAAAACTCAAAAATGCATCAAGTATTAATCAAATGGAATTATGTTGTACTCAGTTTTATTGTAACAGTCACTATTGGAGATATTAAAAAAATTCGATTAAATATCGTAATTTCACAAATATGATATGAAAGAACGTCTCGAAATTATTTCTTCTGCATGATATCTATCTTATATACGTGTTCACGAAACGTGTTCACTTTTAATTAATGCTTTTGAAAAGTATTCAAAAACCGAAAAAATCCTATTACACTCACATTCCAGACAGAATAATGAATTATTTATTATGAAAAATAATGAATGAGGCAAATTAAAATATATACACTGCAATTAAAAAATGTCAAATTATCGTAATCGACATTCCCCAAAAGATTGCTGAATAATTAGAATACATACCTAAATGTTGAAAGTCTAAACTAGAGATGAAAGTATCTTTCCAAAAATTATAGACATATCGCTAAGCTACATGCAATGTAAAGAATTTGACCTTTTTATGCACATATGTTGCCGTCATGATCTGAAATATAACAGCAAAACAAAGGCTAAGATACTTCAATACTTTGTACCGTAGGCCCCCTCTAAAAATGATAAAAGTATTCAATTTCTTCTATATTGAAGCACTGGAAATTTGCATAGAGAATCGAGTTGTTTCACAACAAAACCTCAAAAAGAATAGCAATAATTTTGCAGACCGATCCACATGTTCACTGCATGTCCATCAATTGCCTTATTTGATAAAAAATGCAGCCTTAATTTTAGTTGATGATTGTCAAGTGTTTGATGATCTTGGAGGTTTCTCATTTGTTCCACAAAGATATGAGACGACCACGTCTATAACTCTGTTTTATTCTGTATGCCCATATTTATTCTTACCACTTGAGTCACTAGTGAGCAGCTGTGTAACTTTCTCTTTCAGCTGGTTTGTCAGACTGCCGGCAGTGTAGATATTTTTCTGTGTATTAGGTTATTGTTATAGCGTTTTATTGCCGTTAATTTGTGTAATTATTGTTGTAAAATGATATTAGTAGTACAGGTTTACTATTTCTCCAGTTTGGCTTAGCTCTGTTCACTAGTTAGCTTGTATTTAACACTTCCGTAACTAGTCTATTTTCGCAGTTTATTTCCTGTGTGATTTCCATATTTCTATGCTTATTTCCATGTATATTACGTGTTTGTCGGTAAGATAGGATTTGTGTTGTATCTTTAGTGTCATACTAGTTATTCTTATGTATATCTAGGTATGTTTTACCCGGTTTTTCATATCCCATTATAAGTAAATAGTTCATGACTGTGACGTCATAAACCAATTTCTTATCTTGTGTTACGTATGTATCCTACGGTATTTGTACTGTGTTTTTATTTGTTTATTGTATTTCGTATTGGAGTATTTGGTTGTATTAAGTTCTTACAGGTGTATAATTAATCTAGTTAGTTAAATTAGTTACTCTGCTGTATTTGGAACCGCAAGAAGATTATTTCGTGATTGACATCTAGTGCAACTTCAGTGTCCAATAAGCTGGCAGAAAGAACCTGAGTGGTGATATCAATTTTGGTACGCCACATATACGAATTTTTGGCGAGCACACGCCAGGATTTATTATTTGACACAGATGATTTGACTATTAAGACTAAGCCGATTAGGTAGGCTAGTCTGTGACGGATAATATTTGGACAATATTGGAAATTTGAGGTTGCAAATTTTTTTTAGTTGTGGTTGCCTGATATTTTGGAAAATGGTTAAGAGAAGAAAGATTGTACCGGCACCAAAAGAAGCCAAAGAGGAGAATGAACTTTTGCATCTGCAAATACAGGTATTGAAGGCGAAATTGAGGGAATCAGAGGACAAGCAAGAGGATACTGACAGCCGTTTGCAGCTGATGGACAGTCGTATACAGCAGATAGACGGTTGTGTACAACAGATTGGAAGTCAACTAGAATCAGTTGAACTCCAAAATACAAAAATGGGCTCATCTTTGAAATGTACAGCATGCTGCAAGATATTTCTGGCGTGGTTAAAAGGAAAAGTTGCTGATCCTGAGGAAACACAGCCCATGTCACATGACCCAAATGTCAGCCTGATCACTTCAACACCAGCAACGGTTGTTCCAAAAGCAGCGCCTGTTCTCAAGCATGATGAAATTTCTGATTTTGGATCAGAAGATGGACAGCCAGAAGGGAAGCGGAACGCGTTCTCACAGACATTAGAAGTGAAATTTTTGGAGAATGGTCATGTGAGTAACCTTGCACCTACAATTCCTTTTTTGAATGATAATGGTAATGAGGGCACAAATGTCAGAAGGCAACTTAGTACTAGGCCGAAAATGGTTACAGTGGCTACACAATCAGCCCCTCCAGTGAGCGCTAGTAGTGTCTCAAATGCCAATGTTAGTCGTAGTGTTCTCAATAGCACAGCTAATGCTACGATGATGGCAAGAAATGTCAAAAGCCGAGTATTTCGATGGGATCCACTGTCATGGCGTGGCCTAGTTATTTATGCCATTTTGAATTGGTTACAGTTATAATCAGTGGGATGATGACACTGCGGGATTGGAATTGGCTACTTGCATGACAGGTCAAGCTCTAAATGTATGAAAGATTTACCAGATATGAAACGTACTAGCTATCGTGATATTGTGGCTCATTTTAATCATTTCTTTAAACCTGCCGAAATGAGAGTTCATATCGTACTATCATTTCATTGTCGTAGGATTAAGCCAAATGAAGCACCACGGGATTATGGTTAACAAATTGAAAGAGCTTGTTATTCTTGCTTACCCAAATCTTGATATTGCTGGTCAAGATGATATTTTGAAATCGCAGTTTCTCGCCGGTTTAACCGATGAAAGCATGATCAAACATGTTACCATGCAACAGCCTGATACTTTTGAAAGGCTCTGTCTCTTGCACACTGTATTACTCTGTTGATACTAACCACTCTGAGAGGAAAGACATGCCTAAACCGCGCATTGCAGTGAAACAGAATACTGGTGATGTGCTAATCAGCAAACGACTTTTCTTTCGAAGCAGTATTGCGACTTCTAGCAAAACTGGATGAGATCATAGGATATGTTAAGCCGCGCTAAAACAATCGCAATTTTGATGGTGTACCACGCAACCCGTGTCCTCGATGTGGTAAACATGGTCATTGGGGCAGGGATTGCAAGGCATGTTTTAATTGCAAGCAGACTGGTCATCTTAAACGGGATTGTCCACATCTTCAGAATCCCGCTGATCCTGCAACAGCTGCTTCCTCTTCGACCGCAAATTTAAACGACACTCAGCGGGCTTGAGGTCCTCAGTGTCCGCTGAATTATTACTTGATGACGGACCAACGAACCAGAATATAGACCTGAATATTTGTTCCTTGCAATATGACAATAGTTGGCATGCGAAGGTACTTGTAAACAATCAACCGTTCAATTTTCTTGTAGATAGTGGTGCTATGACTACTCTGATTGACATTTCCATCTTTGAGGCTATAGGTGGGAAAGAAGCACATTGCACCGCTCGAAGAATCTCTTGTTGCAGTGGGAGGACATGATTTATCACCACTGGGTACATTGGAAGTTGATTTGTCTATTGATTCGTTTGTATCACGACGCACTGTGATTGTTGCCAACCTAGGTATGTCTAATGGTATTTTGGGCATGGACTATCTCCGAGAACATGATTGCGTTCTTTACTTATCATCTGGACACATGATGATAGAGGGTCATGAAATCAAACTGTTTACTGAAAAGTCTGTACCGTGTTGTCGTGTAACGGTTCGAGAAGATATTACTATACCGCCATATTCTAAGGTTGTTATCCCTGCACAACTTAGTCGTCCTTGGACGAAAAGCAATTTGTCTGACGTTGCTGCTCTTGTTGAACCGCTGAATTCTTCTTTCCTTGCTGATGGCGTTCAGCTGATCTTCTGTGTGGATCCAGGAAAGTCCACTGTTCCTGTTCTAGCGGTGAACCAAAAAGGCAGACAACTTAAGATCAGGGCTGGATCTTTGATTGGTATTGCACATCCTCAACTTGTAGCACAAATTCAAGTTGACGAATCCGATAATCGGGTTATAGCTTCTGAATTACCAGAACATCTACATGACATGGTCAATTCCGTTGAGGATCTAACCCCGAGTCAACGTGAACAGTTGGTCAATTGATTTGTGAATTCCATGATGTATTTGTAGGACCAGATGGTGAACTTGGCCGTACTTCAGCAGCAAAGCATAGGATCATCACAACCACACCACAGCCGATTCGGCAGGCTCCTCGTCGAATGGGGTGGGCGCGTAGGAAGATAGCCGAAGAAGCTGTTGATAATATGCTGGCTCAGGGTGTCATAGAACCCAGCGATTCCCCATATTCTTCTCCCATTGTCCTAGTTCCCAAAAAGGATGGTTCTACCAGATTTTGCGTGGATTTTAGATTGCTTAATGACGTCACATACAAGGACGCATATCCCTTGCCGCGTATTGAGGATATCATTGAGTCCTTAAACGGAGCACAATGGTTCTCAACTCTTGATCTCGCTAGCGGATATTGGCAAGTGGAGGTTGATCCTGCAGACCGTGAAAAGACAGCATTCAGCATCCCAGGCCGTGGTCATTTTCACTTTGTAGTGATGCCTTTCGGTTTGGCGAATGCTCCCGCAACATTCGAACGGATGATGGACAATATCCTTGGTGATCTCCTGTGGAACGGGTGTTTCAATTTTCTTGATGATGTTTTGGCTCATGGTAGTGATTTCTCAATGGCACTCTCAAATCTTCGGGAAGTTTTTATAAGACTTCGC